CAAAGGAAGAGGAGGCTACAACAATTCGACTGGTCAGAATCAGCAGGAAGAAAACTGGTTGAATCAGAGAAAACCATGGAACCAAGGCAATTAAAGAGGTGGTGCTGCAGGTAGAGGAAGAGGTGGTGGAAGAAAGCTTGACAAAAGTCACATTCAGTGTTTCAATTGTCAGAAGTATGGTCACTATTTTAGTTAATGTTGAGAAAAGAGAAAGAATCAAGAAACTGATACAAAGATGGCGAAGCATGAAGAACAAGAGATGTTGCTAATGGTCACAACAAGAGACGAAGAGAGATTCCAGGACCAATGGTACTTGGACTTAGGATTCTCATCATACATGACTGGAAGGAAAGATTGGTTTGTCAACATGAAGCCCTCGTTGAAGAACATGGTGAAATTTGCAAATGACAATACTCTAGCAGCTGAAGGTATTAGCGATGTTTTGGTTATGAGGAAAGATGGCAAGAGGTCAACAATTTCCAATGTGTTGTACATACCATGCATGAAGAGTAATTTGCTCAGTATAGGGCAGCTAGTCGAAAAGAACTACAAGGTTTCGATCAAAGACAAGATGATGAGAGTTATCGACGCAGGTGGTAGGTTGATCTTGAAGGCTCCAGTGTCTCAGAATAGGACCTTCAATATTGAACTCAATATGATGGAGCACAAGTGCCTTGAAACTGTAGCCAACAGAGATGAATGGTTATGGCATTTTCGACTAGGCCATCTCAACTTCAATGACATCAGAGAGTTAAAGAGAAGAAATATGGCTTCAGGGTTACCTGAAATAGACATTCCAAGTGAAGTTTGTGAAGAGTGTGTTTAGTCGAAACAACACAAGAATAACTTCAGCAAGGATGCAGGAAGAAAGTCGAAGGTAATTATGGAAGTCATATACTCTAATGTATATGGTCCAATCCAGGTGGATTTGATTGCAGGAAACATATACTTTTTCATGTTCATAGATGATTATAGTCGAAAGTTGTGGACTTACCACATCAAGAAGAAAAGTGATGTGATCGAGGTATTTGCTAGATTCAAATCTATGGTCGAAAGACATAGTGGTCGAAAGTTGAAAATTCTGAGGACTGATGGTGGTGGAGAGTATGTGTCGAAAGAGTTTGATAGATTATGTGAAAAAGAAGGGATTGTGCTTGAGGTGGTGTCACCCTACACTCCACAAAAAAATAGAATTGCAGAAAGAAAGAACAAAACCATCATGAACATGGTGAGAAGCATGTTGAATGGAAAGCATCAACCCAAATAATTATGGGGAGAAACGGTTTTGACAGTAACATACATATTAAATAGATGTCCGATGAAGAAGCTTGAAGGAATCACACCAGAAGAATGTTAATCTGGTGTCAAGCCTAGCCTCAATCACTTAAAGGTGTTTGGATCTATAACACATAGACATGTGCCAGATCAGTTGAGAAGGAAGCTTGATGATAAGTCGAATCAGATGATCTTGATAGAATATCATTCGACTGGAGGTTACAAGTTGTTCGACCCAGTGAATAAGCAAGTAGTGATCAGCAGTGACGTGATCATATATGAACTTAAAGAATGGGATTGGACTGATAATGTTAAGAAGGATTCAGCGAGAATCTCTTGTGAAGAACCAACTACTGAAGTCGAAAGAGAAGTTCGACAGGAACAAGTTCGAGATGAAGCTGACCAAAGCAGACCTCGACGAGTAAGACACATGCCTACAAGGTTGCAAGAATGTGCAATTATGTCAGATGATGTGGTCGATGAAGAAGGTGAGATGGTACATTATGCTTTCTACGCAAATGTCGAACCAGTCAATGCAACTGAGGCATTGAAAGATTCTAAGTGGGTGAAAGCAATGAATGAGGAGTTAGACTCCATCGAAGTCAACAACACCTGGTCACTTGTCGATTTGCCTCAAGGGAAGAAGGAAATTGATGTGAAGTGGGTTTACAAGGTGAAGGTGAATCCTAAAGAAGAAGTAACTCGACACAAGGCGAGACTTGTGGCGAAAGGATTTCTTCAGAAGGAAGGAATCGACTTCGATGAAGTTTTTGTACCTGTTGCTAGGATTGAAATAATCAGATTGGTTGCTGGTCTAGCAAATATGAATAATTGGCACACATGTCAAATGGACGTGAAATGTGCATTCTTTATTGGCCCTTAGACGAAGAAGTTTATGTTGCACAACCAACTGGGTTTGTGAAATGAGGCGAAGAAAGAAAGGTGTGCAGGTTGCATAAAGCCATGTATGGACTTAAGCAAGCTCCAAGAGCTTGGAATAAGAAAATCGACAGCTTCTTACGGGAGAAGGAATTTGTGAAGTGTACGACTGAGCATGAAGTGTACGTAAGAAGAAGCAGTAGTGAACTGCTTATACTATGCCTCTATGTCGATGACCTGTTGATAACCAAAAGTTACAAGAAGGAGATCGAAGACTTCAAACATAACTTGAGTGAGGAGTTTGAAATGTCAGACTTGGGAAATCTCTCATATTTCCTTGGCATCGAATTCTACAAGAGCAGTAGAGGTTTGATGATGCACCAAAGAAGATATGCATGTGAAATACTCAAGAGATTTGAGATGCAAGATTGAAACCCGACTTCGACTCCAGCTGAGACCAGATTGCAACTACGAAAGATGAAGATGAAGATGATGTCGACCTAACCCAATATAGAAGACTTATTGGGTCACTTTGATACCTTTGTCAAACAAGGCCTGACTTAGCATACAATGTGGGTATGGTAAGCAGATTCATGCAAAAGCCAAAGGTATTATACCTAGCAGTGACGAAGAGGATACTGAAGCATATGAAAGGGACTGTCGACTACGACATTTTGTTTCCAGCAACTGATAAAGCAAAAGAATGCAAGTTAGTGGGATACACCGTCTCTAGTTGGTGTAGTGATGTTGAGGATAGAAAATGCACAGTTGGCTATGTGTTTATATTAGGTGGTGCAACAATTGCTTGGAGTTTGAAAAAGGAGCTAGTAGTGGCATTCTCATCATGTGAAGCAAAATATATATTTGATTCTCTTTGTCCATGTCAAGCAACCTGGATGGTAAACCTGGTCGAAGAGATCATAGCGAAGAGTCGTGGAACAATTACCATGAAGATCGACAACATGTCAGCTATCAACTTGGAGAAGAATCCAATAGCACACGGTCGAAGCAAGCACATCAAAATGAGGTTCCATTATCTTTGAGAGAAGATAAAAGAAGAGAAGATAAATTAGGAACACTACAAAATTGAGAATTAGATTGCAGACATCATGACGAAGGGAGTGCCAGTCGAAGTGTTCAGAAGGCTAAGGTCTATGATGAATGTAGATAGCTTAGACACAATGAATTAGGTGGTGCGTTGAGTTTGTAATTCCTTATGTCGAAGAAGTGTAGCTCGACAGAAACAAAGATTAGTCAAATTAGCCTAATGTGTTAGTGTGTTGAAGTGTCGAAGCAAGTTGTTTCACACATGATTTCAACTTAGGCATATTTTAGTAATGTTAGCTATTTTGGGCTTTTATAGTTTTGCATTTTGTCTTGGGGTGCAAGTAAACCTAAATCTATAAATAGGAAGAACCTATTATTTTGTACATAATCTAATCATATTTTGTAATTCACAGTTTGCAGTTGCAAGTGAAATAACAGATTTCCACAAGTTGTGGGCAGAGAATTCTCAGCAGAAAAATTATTCATCTTCTTCTCCAACGCTTATTTTCTTTCTTTCTATCTATCTAAATCTTTTCATCGTCATCACGAGAGTGAAAATAATCTTGAGATCAAAATTGGTCGAGTAATGAAAATAACCTTGAGATCAAAATTGGTCGAGTAAAATTCTCCGTAGGTTGTGGTTGAATTTCCAACACTGTCAAATCAATTTATAAATTTTAAATTATTTATATAATTTAACATTTTAAAATATTTTGATTAAATGTAGGTGTAATTAGGGGTGAACAATAGACTGGGTTGAGCAGACTCGGGCCCAAAAATGACACCCAGTTGAAACCTCGGTTGAAAATCTAAGGCCCGATTTCTCCCAATTTCATTATCGATTTTATCAGGTTGGATTGAAACGGGTCACGGGTAAACATGGGTTGTTTAGTCGGGTTACCAGACTGATCAAATTATAAGGCCGTTAGTGATAAAATTTTAGTAATACTTCTAGTTCATACATTTAAAAAGTTTCATACCCTTTCATTTTATTTTAATTCATATATTTAAAAAAAAAACAAATACTAAAATAAATGCATATTAAAAATATCTTCACTCAGTTTTGAATCATTAATCAAATGAAAAACAGTAAAAGTTGACTATTAACATTAAGTCTTCTTCAATTCTAAGAGAATGTCTTTCTTCATTAATCTCTTTTATCAATATGCAAAATCAAAAAATAAATATAGATTATGAATAACTAGAAATTAAATAGAATTCATTGAGATATAAATTACACATTAAAACAAAATTGATCTTAATTATATTCAAAATTAACCATTAATCAAAATTTAATTCAAAACTCAGCTATTAAAACTTATTAAAAAATCATGTAAACAAAACAAATAGTTTTAATGCAGAATATCATCAAAACATATCATTTTTAAAAAATGAAACTATAAACGCAGTAATCACCATCCAAATTCAACCTTCAAAGTTATAATAATACAAGAATGCACAGCTTATTCCAATACAGATTTTAATTATTAAACACTATTTTAATACGGATGGTGAGCTATGACTTTAGGTACATGTGAATTCTCAAAAAAAAAAAAATACTATAATTTAAGTCCATAATCCATTCTACTAGAATTTTGAGACACACGTTGAAAGTTGGTCCTTCATGGAACTAGAATCTTTCATCACACAAAAATCGATAAATAAATATTTATTTGTGGTGGTTAGATACCGCCTTTGCCTGATTCATATAAACCCAAAAATTTTCACAAAAGTGCAATTCTCAAACCAAAAATCAATGCCAATTATCAAACTCAGCAAAATTCTTGTTCTGATTTCTCATGGCCATCAATCTTAATCTCACCACAACTTGTTCTCTTCCTTCAAACCCTTCCTTTCTCTCACACAAACACAACATCAAATTCATTCACCCTTCTTCTTCTTTAATAAACAACAAGATATGTGCTCAATCACAAGGAACTGACGCTGGTGTTTCTGAGGACGATTCTTCTCTCGGTATGCTAAGCATGAATTTCCATATGAATAAAGTTGTTTTTATTTATTATATCCCAGTAAAAATTTCTGTGGTTATGGTTTATGGTTTAATAGGTGAAATGTCTGTCTTTTACTGTTAGGATCTTTATCTTCTTCTCGTGCACAGCTGGATCTTTTGGAGCAATTTACATCTACAACCTCATCAATCAATGGTATGCAACTTAACTTCTTCTCTTGAAGGCCAAACACAAGTTTAGTGAATCTCATAGATCTTTGAAAAATCAATTTTGGGAAAATGGTAACAACTATGCAAGCGTTTCTATTTTCCAGGTAATGAAATCGATGGCAGCACTCGGAGACTTTCAATTCGCGACCAGCTTGCACAGTTGGTTGGAGATAGGGACGATGATTTCACCATTCCGTTAGGTAAGAACTTGAAGAAAGTGAGTGCGAAATTCTTAACAACTTCACAAAGGAGAAATATCAAGAGACAAACTTATCTAAATGAAGTTTCTCAGAGAAACGATTCAACTGTTTTTGCAACTATAGGAGCTTTTGTGATTCTTCCACCTCTTATAATACTAGGAATAGCTATAGCAACTGGTTATGTACAGCTTTTACCTTAAGACACAATTAATTTAGTGATTCTGTATAGAAATCTTTGCATATAATTTAATTACCATCACTGCATTACTTACTCTTCCTAAAATTAGTTTCTTGAAGCAGATTATGAAATAATCGCTTTTGACATAATATATTAAATGCTTCTTGACATTATGTTAGCTTTTTTTGTACTTTGCATCTATCCTGTATTATTAAAATAATCACAGTAAACACGTGCAATTAAAGAATGTGAAATCTAGGAAACTAATATGAAGTCTCTAATTGACACCAATTCCATTAATTAGATCTATATGAAGTGAAGTCTAACAAACTCATCTCCAATTTGTTATAAAATAGAAATCCTGCTGATAATGCCATAGGCATCTCAGACACCTATTCAGAATTTTGAAGCAAATGAAAAAAGAATAAAAAATATTGGAGTCATATAAATATCAAGTTTAATCTTTTAGAGGTGTCCATGCTTCTTCTCTACTGATTCCTAATGGTTGGAAACCTTAAGTTTAAAACTCTGCATACCATTTTTACACTGAAATTGTCTCAACACATGTTCATAATTGATCAACAAATTTAGAAAAACTTAAATCACACAGCCCTATTCATTAGTATAGTAGCTGTTAAATGTAATTCATTGTTTTGATTAGATTTAATATCATATGATTAGATTTGATTTGAATATTTTGGACCTTTTATGGTTTGAGCTTTTGTAAACCTAAAACTATAAATAGGGTGCCTTGCTTTGTATTCAATAACACAACATTAGAACTGGATTCACAGTTGTAGTATTAGCAAGTGAAGGTTCAATAAAATCAGAAATCCCACAGTTGTGGGTAACTCAATACTTTCTCATTCTTCTCTTTCTTGTTTGTTATTCTTCTTTTCTTTTATTGTTCTTGATAATTACTTGTTATTACCATTACTATCATATTGTGGGTTTGTTCATCAATCTTGAGATCAAGATTGAAGGGAATTCTTCATAGGGTGTGAGGTGAATTTTCAACATCTGATATCTAGAGCTCCGGTTGAGAGATTCAAGGAAGGAAGATAGTGATGGCGATGAACTATCCGAACGGTAACTTTCCGGCGACCCTGCCAATTTTCAAGAAAGACAATTATGAGAATTGGTGCAAGCAGATTAAGGTGATCTTCTGTTACTAAGATCTTTGGGATCTTGTGAAAGATGGAGTAACATCGCTTGGGGAGAACGCAACGGAGACGGAAAAGGCTGCGCACAAAGAATTGAAGAAGAAGGATTATAAAGCACTCTTTATAATTCATCAGTGTGTCGATCCTGATAACTTTGAAAAGGTTAGTGATGTTGATTCAGCAAAAGAAGCATGGGAGATTCTTGAAAAGTCGTTTGGAGGCGTAGAGAAGGTGAAAGAGGTGAGGTTACAAACTCACAAGAGAACCTATGAGTTGCTTCAGATGGAAGACAACGAAAGCATTACAGATTTCTTCATCAGAGTTACAAAGTTGGTGAATCAAATCAAAGTTTGTGGAAAAGCGCTGACGACGAAAGCAGTTGTCTCAAAGATTTTGAGATCGCTGGCTCCAAAATTCGACCACGTGGTAGTTGCCATAGAAGAGTCGAAAAATCTATCAGTGTTGACGAAGGAAGAGCTTCAAGGGACTCTTGAGTCTCATGAATAGAGGATGGCTGAGAGAGCTGCAGGAAAGTCGAAAGATATGGCTTTGCAGGCGCAGTCAGAAAAGGAAAGAAAAGGCAAAGGTAGCTGGAATGGCAACAAAGGAGGAAACCAGTCGAATCAGAAGAAACACTAGAACCAAGGCAACCAAAGAGGTGGTGCTGCAGGTAAAGGAAGAGGTGGTGGTCGAAAGTCAGACAAAAGCCACATTCAGTGTTTCAATTGCCAGAAGTATGGTCATTATGCTAGTGATTGTCCAGAAAGGAAGAGAAATCAAGAGACTGATGCAAAGCTGGCGAAACATGAAGAAGAAGAAACGTTGCTAATGGTTACAACAAAAGATGAAGAAAGATTCCAAGATCAGTGGTACTTGAACTCAGGATGTTCATCACACATGACTGGAAGGAAAGATTGGCTTGTCAACATGAAGCCCTCGTCGAAGAACACCGTGAAGTTTGCAAATGACAACACTCTAGCAATCTAAGGTGTTGGTGATGTTCTGATTATGAGGAAAGATGGCAAGAGGTCAACAATTTCCAATGTGTTGTACATACCAGGCATGAAGAGTAATTTGCTCAGTATAGGGCAACTTGTCGAAAAGAACTACAAGGTAGTTGTCGAAGACAAGATGATGAAAGTTCTCGACGCAGGTGGTAGATTAATCTTGAAGACTCTAATGTCTCAGAATAGGACCTTCAAGATTGGACTCAATGTGATGGAGCACAGATGTCTAGCAACTACAGCCAGCAGAGATGAGTGGTTATGGCATTTTCGACTAGGTCATCTCAACTTTAAAGACATCAGAGAACTGAAGAGAAGAAATATGGTTTCAGGATTACCAGAAATCGACATTCCAAGTGAAGTCTGTGAAGAGTGTGTTCAGTCGAAACAACACAAGAATAGCTTCAGCAAGGATGCAGGAAGGAAGTCGAAGGCAATACTTGAAGTCATATACTCTGATGTATGTGGTCCAATCCAGGTGGATTCGATTGGTGGCAATAGATACTTTATCACGTTTATAGATGATTACAGCCGAAAGCTGCGGACTTACCTCATCAAGAAGAAAAGTGATGTGATTGAGGTATTTTCCAGATTCAAGTCCATGGTCGAAAGACAGAGTGGTCGAAAGCTGAAAATTCTGAGGACTGATGGTGGTGGAGAGTATGTGTCGAAAGAGTTCGATACACTATGTGTAAAAGAAGGGATTGTGCATGAGGTGGTGCCACCTTACACTCCATAGCAAAATGGGATTGCAGAATGCAAGAACAGAACCATCATGAATATGGTGAGAAGTATGTTGAATGGAAAGCATCTACCTAAAGAATTATGAGGAGAAGCAGTTTCGACACCAACATATATATTGAACAGATGTCCGACGAAGAAGCTTGAAGGAATCACACCAGAAGAATGTCGGTCTGGTGTCAAGCCTAGTCTCAGTCACTTGAAGGTGTTTGGATCTATAGCACATAGACATGTGCCATATCAGTTGAGAAGGAAGCTTGATGATAAGTCGAATCAGATGATCTTGATAGAATATCATTCGACAGGAGGTTACAAGTTGTTCGACCCAATGAATAAGCAGGTAGTGATCAGCAGGGACGTGATCATAGATGAGCTTAAAGAATGAGATTGGACTAAGAATGCCAAGAAGGATTCAGTGAGAATCTCTTGTGAAGAACCAGCCACTGAAGTCGAAATAGAAGTTCGACAGGAATCAGTTGCAGATGAAGCAGGTTCAAGCAGACCTCGACGAACAAGACACATGCCTGCAAGGTTGCAAGAATGTGTAATTACATCAGATGATGTAGTCGATGAAGAGGGTGAGTAGGTACATTATGCTTTCTACGCAGATGTCGAACCAGTCAATGTAGCTGAGGCATTGAAAGATTCGAAGTGGATGAAAGCAATGATTGAAGAGTTGGAGTCCATCGAAGTCAATGATACCTGGTCACTTGTAGAATTGCCACAAGGCAAGAAGGCAATTGATGTGAAGTGGATTTACAAGGTAAAGGTAAATCCTAAAGGAAAAGTAACTCGACACAAGGCGAGACTTGTGGCGAAAGGATTTCTTCAGAAGGAAGGAATCGACTTCGATGAAGTATTCGCACCTATTGCTAGAATCGAAACAATCAGGTTGGTTGTTGGTCTAGCAAATATGAACAACTGGAACACATGTCAGATGGACGTGAAGTGTGCATTCCTTAATGGCCCCTTAGACGAAGAAGTTTATGTTGCACAACCAGCTGAGTTTGTGAAACAAGGCGAAGAAAGAAAGGTGTACAGGCTTCATAAATCCCTGTATGGACTTAAGCAAGCTTCAAGAGCTTGGAATAAGAAAATCGACAGCTTCTTAAGGGAGAAGGAATTTGTGAAGTGTACAACTGAGCATGGAGTATATGTAAGAAGAAGCAATGACGAATTGCTTATACTATGTCTCTATGTTGATGATTTGTTGATAACAGGGAGTTGCAAGAAGGAGATCGAAGATTTCAAACATGACCTTAGTGAGGAGTTTGAAATGTCAGACTTGGGAAATCTCTCATATTTCCTTGGCATCGAATTCTACAAGACAAGTAGAGGTTTGATGATGCACCAAAGAAGATATGCAGGCGAAATACTCAAGAGATTTGAGATGCAAGATTGCAACCAAACTTCGACTCCAACTGAGCCTAGATTGCAACTGTCGAAGTATTCAGATGAAGATGATGTCGACCCAACCCAATACAGAAGACTTATTGGGTCACTTAGATACCTTTGTCACACAAGGCCTGACTTAGCATACAGTGTTGGTATGGTAAGTAGATTCATGCAGAAGCCAAAGGTATCACACCTAGCAGCGACGAAGAGGATATTGAGGTATCTGAAAGGAACTCTCGACTATGGTATTTTGTTTCCAGCAGTTGATGAAGGAAAAGAATGCAAGTTAGTGGGATACACAGACTCCAGTTGGTGTAGTGATGCTGAGGATCGAAAATCCACAGCTGGTTATGTGTTTATGTTAGGTGGTGCACCAGTTGCTTGGAATTTGAGAAAGGAACCAGTAGTGGCATTGTCATCATGCGAAGCAGAATATATAGTTGCTTCTCTTTGTGCATGTCAAGCAACTTAGATGGTGAACTTGGTCAAAGAAATCACAGGGAAGAATCATAGAGCAATTACCATGAAGATAGACAGCATGTCAGCTATCAACTTGTGAAGAATCCAATAGCTCATGGTCGAAGCAAGCACATCGAAATGAGGTTCCATTATCTTCGAGAGAAGGTAGCAGAAGGGAAGATGAAGTTGGAACACTGCATAACTGAGAATCAGATTGCAGATATCATGACGAAGGGAGTGCAGGTCGAAGCCTTCAGAAG